CCCCAAAACCCCAAAACCCCAAAACCCCAAAACCCCATTATGACAGATCTGAACAAAAATAGACAGATAGCATAAATGATTATCAAATTCTCATTATTTAAATAATTTTAAGCAAATAGTAAATATTACAAAATAGTAATTATTTAGTAATTATTTAATTATTTTTTAATCAATTCAACTTTTTTTATTGAGTCATATTAAATGAAAGCAGCAATACAACTTATTACTACTGCTCTTGCTTCTTACGGTCTTGAAGAATAATTCTATAGCTAGTTAAAATATCTTAATAAAGATCTAACCAGATTCCATAATGATCAAGCTCTTAGTGATAGAGTTAGATTTTTTTAAGAAGTCTGGATTGCAGCTAATGAGATTGAATTTTGCATTTTTCCAGCTGGGTTGCCACAAATACCAGCATTCACTAAAGAATATCTTGAAACAATTGGGATTGATATGAGATATAGATATGTCACAAGCCCTGAAAGAATGCAAACTGCGTTCAAACATATTAATGCCCCTACAGAAGATAAGATTCCGTATTTAGCTCATCATGTTTGGCTAACACATCCAGATAAGCCAAAAGAAATGCTGTCTTAATCTACTACAAATTCAAAGGATGGCTACGAATTCCATTTGAATGTAACTTAGAGAACTTTGAAGCAATATAACTTCACAATATATTTGTGGGTGAATAGAATTGATTTAATGCCTGAGACAAAAAGATGGGCTGATGCTTGTGGAGTTATGATGAGAGAGATTAGTGAATTTTAAGGAAATTAGCAATATCAACCAATTTTAAATGAAATTCAACTCTTGATTGAATAAAAACAATTTGCAGCAGGTGCTGATATTGCGAGACTATTAATTTTGTATGCTCATGGCGGAGTTTACGCTGATTAGGATCATACCATTCTAGAATACGATCCAATCCTAAACAAAATTGATTTTTTTCTCTACTAATGGCAAAATCTAGGATACCCAACAGTAGAAAATTCTCTTATAGGATCGAGTCCCAAAAATAAGTTTATTTTTGAGCTATTATAACAGATTGTTCGCAACAGATAAGGTGAATTAATTCCCCATTTTGAGTCAGTATGCTTGCAAAAGTCATATTACTATATTCTGTATGAGACAGGTCCACATTAATTTTCTAGAGTTTTCAACAAAATGCTGATTAACAGAGAATTAGAGGATTAAACTTATATCATCTTAGACTCTAAGATTGCTTACGATGGACTGGATCTTCAAAATCATATTTTTGGAGACAAATACAGCAATGTAGTTTTCAAGGATAAAACACACAGACTCAATGTAAGATTCTAGCACTTTTTAAGTGGATCATGGAAAGATTATGATAATGAATTCAAATTATTTGGATGGTAAAATCAGAACAATTGAGAGAAAAATTTAAGTTAAAACATAAAAAAGATTTTATCATTATTAATTCATTATTTCATTTTACAAAGCCTAAAAAACAAGATTTAATTTATTTTATCAATTAAAATTTGAAGAATCAGTTTATCTTTCGGGGTTTTGGGGTTTTGGGGTTTTGGGG